GATCCATCCTGACCCAGGTTTGGTAGAATGTAGGAAAAAATAAATGAGGGGGTCAAAAAAAAAAAAAATCAAGTATGGCATTTGCCAACAGACTGAATCTTCTTCTTCTTCCCTTGCCGAAAGGAAATAAATTCCAGGGCTCTGTTTCTTCGCCACCACACACTGGGCACTTTTCAGTTGACAAAGTCAATGGTGCCTCTTTCACCTTCTTTTCTCCTGTCAATCCATTCATCAGACTAGCAAATGTAATTTGCCCCAGAAAGAAAAAACCCTTGTTTTTTATGTCTCCTCAAGCAGGCCAGAATTTGCATATGTGCAAATCCCGTCTCATAGAGACGAGACAAGCACTCATAAATTTTGTCCCCAAGAGTGGCCATATTTTCTTTTCAGCACTTTGCATGCAAAACACATCTGTGCTCGTTTCAATCTCTGGGGTAAGTCATTTCTTTCATCACAACACCAGCTATTAGCAAACTGCAAACAAAAGCAAAACACTACGAAAATAAAACACATTCATTTTTATAGTAAAAATACAAGCAATACATATTTATATAGTAAAATGACTAACAATACATTTTATCTATAATTGAAGGTATGCAATTGCATTCAAAACATATTTACCTGAAGCCATAAAATTGTGTTCAAAATATTTTGATTTCGGCATTAAATAAACCACAGAGGTGTTGATATACCTCTAAACAAAATCCATCAACCAACCAAAAACAGAAAATAACAATGATATCTCCACATTGGAGATATCAAATAAGCTTTGCAGAGATCATCAAATGATAAAGAGAGTTGTTGAAAATATAACTAAGTTGAGGACTCAAAGCAAAGGAAAAAGCTTTAAGTACTTGTCTCCTTGAGGGGAACATAAACTAAAGTGAGTTATAGAGAAACAACCACTTTTGACCAATGCTCAGATTTTTGAACAGGCTAGAGTTGGAGTCAAGGACAAAATGTGTAGAATACTTTGCAAATTGGGATCTGTCAAGAAATCTCCTAGGCAACCTCCTCTCACTAAAGCAAATATTTTAAAGTATCAAAATTGGGCCAAGAACTACATGAAAATTGACTTTTCTAAAGTAATTTTCATAGACAAATGTCACTTGCCACTTTATGGGCATGATGGATGGATTTTATCTGATGCAGACATGCCAATGACCAAAAAAAGGTGGCAGTGGAATGGATTTATGACCCAAACCATTATCGGCCGATTCAAAGTCCATGAAATTGCAATAGTTAACACTGTTCAGTTTAACTTCTTTAACCGAACAGTGTTAACTATTGCAATTTCATTGACAAGTCCTAACCTCGCAGTTTCAAAGCAAAGTATGTATTTATGCACAACAATGCTCCTTATGTATCTAAGGTTACCCATGAATCTTTTGAGCATAAAATATTTATGGGAAGCAATTAAAGCCATGTCGGAAATTGAACCTAAATTAAAAAATTTAACAAAATCTAATGAATAATGGATTGCTGGAAGTTATTGTAAAGAAAGCTCATTATGTTAAAATGTAAATGCTTCAAAGACTACACATATAAGTATGTTAATTTTGTTCTACTATAGATGCTGATCAATTGTTGATTTTACTACCTTCTTATTGAAGTAAAACATGATTTTCTGGTTTTGCATAATAACATCAGACTGCAGTTTTTATAATAAATCCAATAACTTTAATAAAACATGTTGAAACTACCTAACGACTTGAAGTTTGTTTTGACATCTAAATTGTTTAAAACTGACAAAAAATTTCAATTCAATTTCAAGTTATTGAGGTGTATATGATTTGTATATTAACTTCAGATGGACTATATATATATATATATATTAAATAAAAACAGACCACTTTAAGGTTCCATGTAAAAAATCCTCCTTGGGTCTACCCATATGGATTATCTAGTTTTTCATAAACTAAATATATATATATATATACACACACACACACACACACACACACATATATGATTCCCAACGTGGGGTGCATGGTAATATTTTGGTGGGGCATGGATAGGAAATGCACCCTTCAGCTTACTATACCAATAGAATAAGGGGGCAATTCTAGGAGGAGTTATTAACAGTGTATTGTTTTCTAGTGAGTCTGAGTGAAAGTGTTAATGTTAATGGGTGTTAGTACAAATGAAGCATATACAGTATGCATACATAAAAATATTTTGTGTGTATGTACGTACATGTGCAATTGGCATAGAGGGTATTTCCCACTTCCCCACACTCGCATGTCTCGGTCAACAAAGACGGCGTGATGCATGTCACTGGAAGAGCCCATGTTTTGTTGGCCAATCAGCACATGTGAACATTCAGTTTGCTTCCTTCACATGAATTGCAGTAAAATTTTGAATATGTAAGAATTAAATATTACAGAGGGGCCCCAGAATTTTAGAAATACTAAAGTGGGGCATGGCCCAAAGTCGGTTGGGAACCACTGAGATATAAATAATAATAGTGGGTACCCTTTGGATGTCATTAAGTCAACCATGAATAAGAAAATCTCAAATTTTTCTAAATCTAAACTGAGTACGGCTTCTAAATGCCCTGTTTATTTGTGTTTTCCCTGGCTGGGTTCTTTAAGTGCTAAATTTGCTAAACAGATTAGTTCAGCAGCTAAAAATTGCTATTTTTCTGCCAATGGTTTTCTCTACCAGATCACCTTGGGTGTCTGCTCGAAAGGACATTTTACCTCCCCACCATATTAACAATGTGATATTATTTCCATCTTATTATTCTGCCCATATATCATTACATGCTTCTTATGTTTTATATTTCAATATTTAGTCCTCCATTTATTTCAGCTCTGTTGACTGAGGATGAAACCAGTCAGCTGGTTATTTTTTTTTTTTAATCATGAATGGTAAAACTTGTCTTACCATTTTTATTTCTATAATAAAATTCTGTACCCCTAAGAATATATATATATATATATATATATATATATATATATATATATATATATATATATATACACATGATAGAGTAAAAATGTCATTTAGTTTAAGTAAAAATAAAAAGTAAAACTTCATGGCCATCTTTTAAGCAATTTTATAATTCTATCCTCTGAAAACTTTATCTTTGTCAAAGAAAAACTGAAGATTTCAGGCTACAATGAAGAGAAATAAATTAAGAATGACAGACTGTGATAAAAGGCACAATCTAAATGCTGGCAGTACAATCCAAAAACTCAGAATATAAATGTGGAACTGTCTCATTCTTTTACATCCAACAAGTTCCTATTGCCAAATCCTTTCCTTCTCCAGTAATGTCTAACTCAATTTTTACCCCTAATATTTTATCATTCTTTTATCTGGGACTGAAATGCTTTCAAACTCTCTCTCTCTGTATGTATGTATGTGTGTGTGTGTATGCACAGCTGCCTCTCCTCCCCCACCCATGTCTTCAATAATATAAATCCCCAGAAAATAGATTTTCTAGGCCAAACATATAGACTTCCTGTTATCTGGTTTTTAAAAATATTGTCTGGATAAATTTAAACCATTTTGTAAAAATATACCCTTTGTAATTTCGGTCTGATGAGACAAATATTAAAAACTTACTTGTCAAAATAAAGTATAATTTATACTCATTTTCGATGATGCATTAAGTTCTTCTTGATGTATATTATATTGCTCTGTATACTATACATTGAGCTCTCTTTATGGATATATCTTTTTAATATTTTATATTAAAAAGACCTACTTGGATTAACTGTTTCACTTATGGATTTGATATTATTATCTCTCTCTCTCCCTCCCTCTCTCTCTCTCTCTCTCTATATATATATATATATATATATATATATATATATATAACGTGTGTCTGTGTGTGTCTGTAAAGTACCAGGTTAAGAACTGGTGCAGGCTAGCTGCCCTTGATGAGGGTGAAAGGATTTTCTCTGAGCTTTGGTTAGCAATCCTTTTGGTGTTGTTTTCACAATAAAAAGACTTCAGATGGGAAGGAAAACTCGTGACAGCTTAACCTGGTCATTATATTGCATGTGTCTGCTGAGAGGCGTGTACTAGCTGATATTGACTGTGATCCGAAGAGGTCAAACTCCGCGATAATAACACAAGGGCTGTTGTTCAGAGTTTCCATGGCAAGTCTTTTGCACCGTTACTTTTTTATCGACAGATCCAAAAAGTGTGGATGGTCCGACACAAGCCTTCACCACTTGAAACAAATCATTGTGTTGGTTTTCTGACAACTACATCTAATTAGTTCCACACATATCCAGCTACTGTGAAAAACTCTATGAAACAACATCAACTTAATCTTGGCACTTGGAATGTACAAACTGTCCAAGACAACAACTCGGCACCAGAAAGAAAAACAGCTCTGGTCGTATTGGAGCTAAAGAAGTACAACATTGATATAGCTGCACTGAGAAGTAACCATCAGTCAACTACATGAAACGAGAAAACAAAATAAGATATCTAACAGTGTCCCTGCTGCACTTGGATGCAATACATTCTCCTGTACTGTTTGTGGTCTTTTGTGCAATTCTCAAGCCAGTCTCTAAAGTCATGCCCATCATAGACATGCAGATAATTAGTTTGTGGACAAAACTAACCATACTCTTAAATTCTTCATATCTCCAGTGACAGACTTTCTTGATTCCTGTTGTAACCTTGAAAAGGTTACTGAATGAGAAATAACTAAAACGAAGATTGGAAATGAAAACGGTAATCTTTATAACATCAACAAAATACAATACTCGCCAGCAGCATGAAGTAGGTAAACCACTGCTAATGGTGGACTACATAGACACCATATTACCCCCACTTACAATAGTGTCCAATGTATTTATGAGGATGGGGACATACCCATTAGTGTTCATAGGTATGGTATATAACAATTCCTTTTTATTAGATTCATAGCATGAATTTTTTCTCGTGTGAAATACAACCCCTCAACCACATTGTGGGTTTTGTACCCTGACTATATATCATTTGTTGTTCCGTCATTAACATTTTCACTATAATTATAATATCCATATATTTCTGCAAAGCTATTCTCAGAAAAAATTAAAAGATGAACTGGGAGTCAAAAAAGATTTGCAGATCAGAAATCTCATTAACACATCAGTTTTTCCCAAAATGTTGAAGGGGAAATTTTTAGCTTTTCTGTTTTATTTTATTACTTAAAATAATTTTTATATTATATTATTATTTTTTGTTTAATTTTCTTTCAGGCCAGGAAATGTTTCTTACAGAAAAAGAATGCTACAATTGTCATACAGTCTTTCTGGCGTGGCTACAAAGTAAGCAGAAATAAAATACAATTATTAATCAAAAATTAACTATGCCTATGCATTGGCCATGTTTGATCTTTGTCTTTGTGTTGTGCTCTTTACAAACATTATCATCATTTTGATTAAGAAAAGCTTTGTATCTAGAGTTTGAAAGGATTAAACTAAAGAACTGTTGGCTGAAGAACTGTTCTATAAATTATTTGAAATTGTATCTTAATTTTGTAAATGATGATGAGTCTAATAGCCAAAACAATTTCACTGTGTGTGTTATAAAAAAAAACTCAAACACTAAACTGAAAAGGTTAATTTTGTCAAACTCAAACATGTTTCTACAGAATTTGTACAAGTTTTTCTAATAAAAATGTCTTGGAATTTTTATCAATTTTTGTTATGTAAATCCAAATTTCTTGTATTGATTTTTGTTTTTCTATTCTATAATTTCCTATTTTAAAAGGTGAAAATGAATTATGGATAATTTTAATTCCTTCTTAATACTTAACATGTGCCTCTATCAACCACTGCATATTTATCCACATAATTGTGCCATTATCCTTCCTTTATACATCTTGATTCCTTGGGGAACATAGGACCTCAACAACACCTTTCTAATGGATGCAGCAATCCTCTTCAGCTCGGCCTATGTCATGTCGGCTGCCTTCACCTCATCAACACTGTATTAGGTTGAGCCATTAGCAATTCTGCTTGTTAATGTTTTGTCAATGAATGTAAATTTCATTCAAATTTCAATTCAGTGTTTTGAGTCTTATGAATCACAAGAGATAAGAAGTTGTGGAGATCCATGATCAGCTATATCCAGAGGAGGCATATCACATAGAAGTTTAATAGATTTTAGTAAAAAAGAAAAAAATCATAAAAAGTAGAATTTCTTGGAATCAATGTATTCTTCTTCTTCTTATGCCTCTTGATTCCTTGGGGAATATAGGGCCACAACAACCCCTCTAATAAATGCGGTTCTGGGCGATCCTCTTCAGCTTGGTACATACATGTCATGTCGGCTGCCTTCACCTCTGCATCAACACTTCTGCGCCGAGTCTGCTTTGGTTGATCCTCTTTTTGCTTTCCTTGTGGATTCCAGAAGGGTTCTGATATTCCAGGTCCCTATCCTGGTTGTTGATTAATCATCAGAAGAATTGTCGGCACACTGGCTTCCCCAAGGGATTTCACCAGCATGACTCTTCCTTGACCATGTCCCATGTCAATGTTTGAAGATATTGTAGTTTCTGTAATAAGCTAGTTTTTAAGTGAGTGGGTTGTTAGCCTACTGCACAACCCTCAACATGGAAGACCAGGGCATGTCTTTCATCTGGCTCCTATCCCACCGACCTGTTGAGCTTGGTTGAACCTGCTAAGGGCCAAAGTCCCGTCCCAAATAGCTCTGGGAATCATTGAAGCATGCAACCCATTTTACCACATCACGGTAACACACCATCAGGACAGGTGTCATTATCCATGTGTCTCTATCTACTATTGTAGCATAATGTGTGTCCACAATTGTAACAAAATCTACTCTGTTCATTTCACTTGTCATTTTTGGTTTTGTTTTTTTTTCATTTTCTCTCATAACATGATAATTTTGTTTTTCTTTTTTTTCCAAGGCTCGGAATCTTTTAAAAGAACTTAAACACCAAAAACGTGTCCTCTGGGCAGTGTCAGTAATTAGAAAATATTACCGGGGGTGGCAGGTTCGCAGGGAGTATAGGAACAAGTTTCGTGCGATTGCTGGGCCCAAAATTGTCCTTTTCTTCCAAGTGGCTTTGGTGAGTAATTATTGACGCATTTCTTGTAATTGTCTTTACTCTTCTACTCTGGCAATTGTTGCTTAATGAAAAACTAACTTGTCTTATGGTTCTGTATTTTCCGTTTTTATTTTAGGTAGATATGTTACTCCAATATTTGGAATTCTCTTTGGAATTACAGAAATTCAAAAGATTATTATCGGAATGATATGGTTGCTTTATATTACAATAGAAACAAATGCTCTCCAAGATGGCTTCTGTATAAATGGTTGCCTCAGAATGCTTCTTTTTTTTTACCTCTGCTGTGGCCAGATATTAAACTAACAAGGACATATGGCCCAGTGGATAAAAGTGTTGGTTGAAGTAACCCAGGGACTTGACACAAAGAGTTGTGAGTTCAATACCTGGCCACAGCAGAGGTGAACAAAAACTTGGAGAGTTGAGTTAGTAAAGGGAAATAACTGAAACTGAGATATCCAGAAGAGGCATGGCACGTGGAACTAGTTCAGCCTGCCCTGGTGGATGAAATAAAAGGTTCCATTTGAAATTCTAATCACCTTAAGAACATCAGAGTGTACAATGGCTAAAACATTGTGAATATGACAATAAAGATGAGGATAACAGTCTGAACAATGTAAATAGTGTAAATAGTTACAATACCTCAGCTCAGAAATATAGACTGTGAATATGACAATAAAGATGAGGACAGACAACAGTCTGAACAATGTAAATAGTGTAAATAGTCACAATACCTCAGCTCAGAAATATAGACAAAAGTAAATGCAAAAAGAAAACCTTGTTTACACATGCAATTTTTTTTCAGCATAAATGTTTTATCAAAAATTATTTGGTTATTTTTTTTTCCTTTTTTGACACGGAAGCATTTTTAGAATTTTGTGTTTTTTTAATATTCTAATTATATATTTTTATTCTTCTCCTTTTCATTACAGTAATTCAGTAAAGCCCATTCCCATTATGTATTAGCATTCCCATTAACACCTGTTCCCATTAAGCATTAAATTTCTCATTAACACCTGTTCCCATTAGGCATTAAATTTCTCATTAACACTTGTTCCTATTAAGCATTAAATTTCCCATTAACACTTGTTCCTATTAAGCATTAAATTTCCCATTAACACTTGTTCCTATTAAGCATTAAATTTCCCATTATCACTTGTTCCTATTAAGCATTAAATTTCCCATTAACGCCTGTTTCCATTAAGCATTAAATTTCAACAACAATGCAACTATTTGATTTTTATTATTTTATGATTTAAATTTTCCAGAGAAAGAAATTTCTTTTAAGTTTGCGAGGTCGGCTACCCTCGATGTCCCCCATATCTCAAGAATGGCCAAGATGTTCAAATTTGTTCAAGCCCACTTCAGAGGAGTTAAGAAAAATATTTCACCGTTGGCGGGTAAGGATCAACTTTCTTGTATGAAATTCTTCTTTTCTCATCAGAAGATTTTAATCCTCAATTTCAATTGAATTTTGAGAGGGTTCTGAAATGTTTTCAGCTTGATCCACTTCCCACAGTCTGACCAAACCAAATTTTAGTTAAGTCATTAGCTTTTCAGCTCCTTTTTTATATATATATATATATATATATATATAATATCACTTCACCCTAAACAAGTCACTAAAATGCAAGGGGTTATTGAGTGTGAGAGAATACAAGAGGAAAAAATATGAAGGTGAGAGGACAAAAAAACAGGAATTAAGAAGAAAGAAAATAACAATTGACACTGAAATTAAATTTTTGAAGATGAAAGTTGATTGGAAAACTGGAAGAGATTTCTACAAGCAAGAAGTGTGAGAGAAGGAACTGTTAGCATAGAACTTAGTTACATCTAACCATTTCAACAGCAAAATGACAATCTAGTACTGCACTTCATAAAGTCTAAGTACCATAGAGAAAAATTCATCAGAACAATTAGCATGAAAGTATTAATAGAAAAGGAGTGGGAAGCTATGTTACAGCAGTTGGAAATTGTCTGAAACTGAGATGCGAAGTCAAGACCAATAACATTGCAGATTCTTCTTTGTATTTTATCAAGAATCTCTAAATACATAGCAGAAGCACCAGAGAAGATGTAGCAATATTCAGTGCCTGGATGAATAGTTGTCTTATAAATATCTAAGATAGATTCTGTCAAGAAAAATTGTGTAGCATGACAAAGTGAATCCACTTTCCTAGCAGCAGACCTAGCAATTGATTCAATATAATCTTTCCACTTCTTGTCGTTCCAAGATGGTGCAATGAGTTACTGTCCTGGGGGTTAGCATCAGTCATGCTGATGGAAGGCAAAACAGGTTCTTGTTATATAGGAATAAAGTGTCGCTGCCGACACTTGAGTTTGAACATAGATCGCCAGTGAGCAAATACAGGTGATCCCATTATTGAATTAATTAGACCACGTGACAATAGAGGAAACACATATATGGAAGGTAGCGTGACGTCTAATTGAGAAATATTTCTATTCTATCCTCTATTACTATTACACCATTTCTAGTCTATTCTCTGTTACTATACAGATCCCATATAGGAGCTGCAAGGTCCGCATTCGTGCATCTCAAGCAGTCACTATGGGGGTGACGGGAGATTTCCATGGCTATGAAGGGGCGCATCTATCAGGCTATTATTCAGACTATCCTTCTCTATGGCTGCAAAACATGGCCACTTAGAGCAGTTGACCTATGAAGGCTTGAAATGTTCAACAACGATTGCCTTCACTGCATTCTACGATGCCACTGAATTGATCATGTGCCCACAGCCACTCTACATCATCACCTGAGTCTCCATCCTCTTCCACCTTTCCTGCTCCAGCATCGTCTCCGATGTTTCGGGCACGCAGCTCGACGCCCAGAGGGAGAGCTCATCCATGATGTACTTCTCCCTCTTTCTCTTCCTGGCTGGCGAAAACATGTCGGTGGGCAGCTGAGGACATGGGCTAGCACAATCAAGGATGACCTAGCAGTACTATCGGGTCCACAAGTAGTTGGTCTTCGACGATGGAATTGTGATTGGCTCACCATTTCGTGTGACCTGGCTCATGATCGGTGAGCATGGGCAGCGATGGTCCGTGATGCTGTACTTGCTTGGGAGGAAGCCAGTTCAACCTGACCAGGGTGAAAACCTATACAAGTCAAGTCAACACTATACAGCTCGCTATTCTCTACTCTGTTCACTATACTATTCCTCTATTCAGATTAATATATGGGATTATTATTCAAGCGAGTATTATCAAGCAAGTACTATTAGTGCAAGTGTTATTCAAAGGTGCCTGACAGCAGAATTGTTCAATGGCATATTATAGTTGTATCTGTGATTACTAAGTCTCTATTAAAATGAGCATTGTGAAAGTGACAATGATTATTCATTGGCATTACAAAAGTGTCAAACAAGTATTCACTGACATCACAAAAGTTCTCTCAAATGACTGAAAGATAGCAGCTTCATTTTGGAGACTTAAAATTAACAAATCATTCCTTGCCTTAGTTGACAATTGATTATAGGTCATTTTTTTTAGATCAGCTGATCAGACTTACTATTAAGGCAGGAGTAAATAGTTGTGCCATCAGCATAGATACTAAGTTGAAAACTGATGACATCAGGAAGGTCATTGATGAAAATTAGGAATAATGTTAGTCGAAGGATAAAGAGTTTTGGAGGACATTTACCTTAATGGAAAAAAATTTACTCTTCAAGACAACTTTGAGTTCGCAATTTGATAAGAAAGATTGAATCATCTCAAAAATTTGTTCAGAAATACCATAATCTTTCAACTTGCGAAGAAAACCAGTGCATGCCAAACTCTGGCCTTTTTGAGACATTCTTTCAGCAATAATTGCTAACACATCAGTAGTTGACCTATAGAAGCAAAATCCATATTGCTTATTTGAAATATATATATATATATATATATATATATATATATATAAAAGTGATCACTATCAGGGACATAACATGTAAATATAAAAGTGGACACTGAGGTCAACACCAAGCGGCAACAGTCTGTTTCATGCTTCAACGCAATCTTCAGGCTGTCACCACTTGATATTGATCTCAGTGTCTACTTATATGCACACACACACATGCATGCACATATATATACACATACACACATGCATATACAACACACAGTCATTCAACCAATAAGATTTGTTGTTTAATCTTTTATTTTCTTTTTGCAATTTCCAAATAAGATGTTGCATATCATGGCTGAAATTGCAGATAAACTGTCCAAACTTCCTGTTTTCTTCCATTTTGTTCAAGTACTTTCAACCATCTTAGCCAGTATCAAGATTTTGTTGCATACATTCTGGCATTTTTGGAATGCTATAATTCAAATTAATTCAAATATATGCCTATCATATGAGTGATGGTGTGTAAAACAATTTCACAAAACTAAATAGTCCTGAAAAGAAGGTACTGAATATACATAGTATTCTTTTATACACATATTAAATATTTTGTTCACATTTTAAAATACCATCTCCTGTGATGAAAGATATTTAATGTAAATTGTTTCTTTTGTATAACAGCAGCTCTGAGTATTTTGAGTCTTTCCTTGCACTGAGTGCAATATAGTATTAGCTGGTAGTATATTGTAGACTCGTCCTTTTCCTACCTATCACCCCTAGTAACAGAACAGTCTATATCTTACACCTACATACGGAAAACTTAAACCAATAAAAACTGTACTAGGCGAATCAACAAATCTCATTGGTGAACGACACAATAATCTGAAAGTTTCACGTGCAAAAACGAAATTGCGCCAAAACTTCGATTTTGGACTTTCAAAACATATAAAAGAAAACGCCGACTGACCAAAGCAGTCAGAGACGAACATCCACAGAGAAATTGCGAACATACTCCACATCACTCGAAATCACAATTTTACCATGCAAAAGTACATCAACGCTGACTCACTTGCAATTTAAACTCAACCAACTCTGTAGACATCGAATCGCAAACCTTGCTTATCCAAAGTGAATTATATTCACTACATATTAAGTAAAAATCAACGTGCGAACGATTCAAAAATATTACAGTCAAAGGTAGATCACTCCATAAGAACTCCTTCCAAAAAACACTTAATATCGACATTTTTAATATCAACACAAATCTAGGAAGACTGTAAATGAACAAACGAATACTAAGAGAGACATACTGAAACCTAAAATATCACACACACTTTGCCATAGTAACATATACCAAATATCCTGTATATATATTACTTTGAATTGTATATAAATGTTTTATTGGTTTCTAAATTAAATATGCCTTGTTTTTGATCGTATTTAAAATTTGTTTATTTATTTGTTTGTGGATGCAGAAAGTCACGCAACCTACACAAATTCCTTCTGATTCTCTCAATTATAATTAATAAATTCTGCACATCCCCAACAATATGTCTTCTGTTAATCAATGTATTTCAAAATTTAAATTTTTAAATGCTAAAGTATTAAATTTCTCTCACTTCAAAATTTTTGTAAATGTAATAATTTATTTTCTATTTGTCATTTTCAGTGTCGAAAATATCGTGAGAAATTAGATTTGATAACCCAAAATAAGATGAAAGAAAAAGTAATTGCTAGTGACCTTTTCAAAGGAAAAAAGGTTACTTATCCACCAAGGTAAAGTCCTGCTTCCTTCTCTTGAATTAAAACAAAAATGTCTCACAAATAATCAAATTTTGTACTGTTTTTCACTCCATCTTCAAATTCTCTATAAAATCTTCATCTTGTCTGCTTTTGAATTTCTTTTTCCAGTGTGCCACATCCATTCAAAGGTGACTATTTAAATTTAAGGAGCCATTTTAAGTGGAAAAAAATGTATGACCACACCCATGACCAAAACCTAATTTTTGCTGATATGGTGCTAAAAGTGAACAGAGCCAATGGCAAGGTAAGTTATTTGCTAGCCAATCATCTTGCTAGGTTATTTTTGCCCCACCTTATTTTTAAAATGGATTTTTTAAATACAATAAGAGATACTTTGTAGGAGTCAAATCTATCTGTAGGACTTCCCTGGCAATTTACATATTGACTAATGAAGTTATGATTATCCATCAACCAATCGTCTTGTTTCCAACAGAACTGAAACTCATAGCTCAAAAAATGGCCAGAAAACTAAAACACTTTTGTAAAATGTAAATTTGTCTTCAGCAAACATTTCTTTAAATGCACTTATTAACCCTACAAAGAAATGTATACTCTCAAGAAACTTGTCTTGTTCATTGAAATGCTCCAAATTAATCAACTAACAATGCCACCTTACAACTTCTTTCACTCATGAGAAGGAAAAGTAACTTTTTTCTGAACCGTGTCCATTCAGGACGTGGGGGATCATAGCTCTCCACTTCCTTGTAGCCATCAATATGTTGTGTCCTTTTGCTACTTCCCCCAAACCCAGTTCTGTCATCCATTTGCTTAAGCCCACTAGGTATGTCACATGTTGCTTACCCTTGTCTTTCTCTCTATCCACCCTGTGAGTATCAGATTCTCCAAGCCCTTCTTTCTCATTACATGTCCCAGAAATTTCAGCTGCTTCTTCCTGATGTTAAGTATAACCTTCCTCCTTGTTTGCATCCTCTTCAAAACTTTATCATTGCTCACATGTTTGGTCCATGATATCCTTAGCATCCTTCTGTAGAACCATACCTCTGCTGCCTCAAGTCTTTTCTTCATCTTTGAGCAGACCGTCCAACATTCACTGCCATAAAGGAGGACAGATATCACACAGCAGTTCAGTACTCTTTTCTTTGTTACCAACAAAATCCTCCTGTCTTGTAATACTTTGTCTAGCTTTTGGAATGCATCTTTGGCCATCCCAATACATCTTCGAATTTCAGCATCACACTTACCATCCTCTGTCAGAACATTTCCCAGATATTTAAATTTCCACACCTGCTTGATTTTAGTGTCCCCAATCTGTAAACCACATTTCGGGCTCATCTTTTTGCTGATGCCCATGCATTCTATTTTCTTGTAGTTTATGCTTAGTACCTTCTTCTTGATTTCTTTCGCTACCTTCTGTCGGAGGTTTTGTAATTTCCTTCCCATGTCTTCTACCAGCACTGTGTCATCTGCGTATGTTATGTTGTTAAGATTGTGTCTGCTAATGATGAATCCTGGTAGGATTTCCAGTTCTCTCAAAATTGCCTCGCTGTAGAGTTTGAATAAGTTGAGAAGACACATATTTGCCTTACACCCTTTTCTATTTTTGTATATCTGCTGAACTCATTTTTTCTCCATATGCAGGCCATTTGCTGCCAGTTCATGATTATTCTAATATCTTTCCCAAATATATCAAGGTTGCTTAGCAGTTCCAACAGATCTTTGTGACGTACTTTGTCAAATGCTTTTGCATAATCTATTAAACACAGGTGCATGTCCTTCTGCATTTGTATTGCTCTTTCTTATAACATTCTGAGCATGAATATTGCATTCCTTGTTCCAGTGTCTTTAACAAACCCACACTGTTCTTGTCCTATCTCTGGCCTGATTCTGATGTATGTTCTATTCATCCGAATACGGATGATGAGTTTTGATATGTGGCTCATTAGGCTGTTTGTTCAGTGAAATTCACATTCATTTATGCCAAGGGGAAAATTCGTTTATGTCAACAAAAAAATAATTTATATGACATTAGTAGATTAGAATAATCACTCAGGCAGAATTTATAAAAAAATTTTTATCACTATTTTTCAAAATTTGTTTTTTAGAATTTTTTTTTTCCATCAAAATAATTTTAATTACCATATTTTCCAGCTTGCAAAACATAATTTTCAAAAAAAAAAAAAACCTGAAAAATACATGTGCATCTTCCAAGATAAATGTAAGGCAATTGCCCACACAGAAGTAAGCTTGGATGGTCACCTAACTGGCTTGACTGATAGAGACGTGGATTTGTATGTCAAGTCATTACACTATAATGTTAGCTATCTATCTAATTCTGCCTTTTATATGATGTAATGTCAGTACATAGCTGTTACAAGTATTTCCAAGACTATAAAACTTCCTGGATCCAAGCCACAAGCTTAGGCATGCTCTGTTTACTAGCAGTGGCAGAAGCCTTTCTGCTCTTGACTGCCATACAAACAAAATCGGACAAGTGATTAATGTAAACAATACATGGCACCAGTATATGAGGAACACATGATGTATGTGTTATTGTATCAGCCATAATATCAGTCATGCCATATGGCAGTGAATTATATACAATGTCCTCACATATAAAGTAGAGACTTGAGGCAACAGAAGGATGCTGAGAATACCATGGACCAAACATGTGAGTAACAAGGAAGTTTTAAGGAAAATAGAAACAAAAAGTATGCTTCTACTTAGAATCAGAAAGAGGTAGTTCAAATTTCTAGGACATTATGAGGAAAGAGGGTTTGGAGAATTTGATACTCACAGGATATATTGAAGACACAAGAGGCAGAGGAATACAGCAAATAACCTATCTAATGAGCTTGTATAAAAGGATGGCAGCTTGGGAGGAATAGCAAAAAGACCAACCTTATTAAGAACTACATTGGGAAAGAGGTTGTGGAGAGCTATGATCGCCCATATCCTGAAGGGATACAGAAGACTCTGATAAATTAAATAAATGTAGCTAAAACTTTGGGATTATAACAAGTAAAATAATCTTGTTTGAAGAGTAATTCCTAACACTGCTCACACCTTTTACTCATCAGCAGGCCAAATTCAAATTTAGTCATATAGTTACATTCTTCCTTAGTCAGTATCACCAGGTGTTGACCATGTTAGGCTTCTAAGAACATGTGATGTGAGTTCAAATCTCATCAGAAGCTATTTATTTCTTAATCCATGTAGTTTACTTAGAATGTCAAAAACATTGCGATAAAAATTGATATAAATATGTTGGACAAAAAACAAGTCAGGCATAAGACACCCCCACCACATTTATTTTAAAACTTGACTCTTAGACTATCTTCTGGGTCTTATATGCAGAGTTAACATATCCAAAAGGTTCAGTATTTTCCCCAAACACCATAGACTGGATCAAACCAAGCTCTATAATATTAAATAGAAGTCTTAAATTGTCTTATGTACAATGAAATACATTAAGAATGTTAATATGCATGTTTAATTTCTTTTCTTTTTTTTCTTTAAAAATATAGATATTCTCCAATAAATTTGTTAAAGAAAATAGTCTGTCTGAATTTCTGGGAAGATGAGTTATCATTTCCATGCTGACTATTGTCTTCATCTTTGTTGCTGTTACATTTTGGCTGTTGTCCCTTCATTAATTGCTTGTCAATTCAGCTAACCTAAAGGGAATCTGAAACTGAAAACCCTGTGAGGATAGATTGTTCTCATTCTGCTGCTCATTTTATTTAGTTTTGCTCATTCCATTTCCACTGATTCCAAATGCCCATCCCAGGGATTGAACTCACAATTACTATGTCCCCAAGTTCACAAACCAATACTTTAATCCACTAGGCTATTGTTCCATGGGACAAATCTGATTGGAGGCTTAAACCTAACTTGCCTGCTGATGAGTATTGTTGCTGCTTGTCATGCTTGACTGTACTAACCAAGGCTTCTCTTTTTAAAGCTGTTGTTGTTAAAGTCTTGCTGCCATTTCTCTTTCTTTCTTTCTTTCTTTCACATTTTTTTTCTTTCTTAACAATTTCTTTTTTACTTCCCTGGCACATGCCAAGAAAGTTTAAAAAAATATTAGGTCCATGCCTCAGGGGGCCTTCGCCCCAGGCAATATCTTTCCTTCTGGAGGGAGCTGGGTTTAATGCCTAGCACCTGAGATGCCCTCAAAAGGGGAAATGCTGGGGGGGGACTTGGGCAATTTTTCCACGGTATTGCCATCAAACCCACTTTAAACTTTTACCTTGTGTCACATTCAGTAACAATGTGAGTGCACTGAAAAATATCCTTAATGTTTTTAGGAGTTTGTCTATTATTTTTTTATTTTCTTTATTTTCATCGTTATGATTGACCTCTAAAACTTATACTGATTTCAAGCCTTACAACTTCAGCCTTCAGGGTTGTCCATCTATTCATATTACCAATACATTTGATACAGTATAATATTTTGAATGCTTTTTAAATTTTATAATGTCAGTGGATTGTAAAGTGTTAATAATACTGCTCCTCTATGCTGAGATACCCCAAAACAAAAGATGAATATGTTTGTTTTAAATATTCTTTATACATTTCTTTTTAGCTCAAAACCTTCATTGCAAACTGAATAATAATCATTTTAGAACTCAATCATGTATATCTTTATAACTTATTAGTCAAAAATGTCAATTAATTTTTCATTATTCTTTCAGATGATGCAGCGGTTGTTTGTGATGAGCACAGAGGCCATCCTGTCTATTGACCAACGTACAATGTCACTTAAGTACCGAATCCCATTAGCACAAATAGAAAAGATTTCTGCAAGTCCATATACAGATAGACTTATGGTCTTTCATATTAAAAAGGTAACAACACTTTTCACATCATGGAAACACATTTTTCAAAGGAAATAGTTTTTCTCTCAGTCAGTCATTGATTAACATTGTTTGCCTATTAACAAGCAACTTTTATTAGCAAGACTTGTAAATTATCATATGGTTAACAAAAGGTTATTAATGCCATTTCCTTATCAACAGTGAAATAACAAGCTGGTCTTTGTAAAGCTGACTTTGAAGATAGGATAGAAAGTTAAAGAATATAATATGGCAAGTTTTAAGTTACATTAATTTTCAGATTAATCATTTTTTTAATTAATTTTTCTTACTATTTTTTTCTTCATCTTGTTTCTATTTTATTAATATTCCAAACTGATAAGCTTATGACCACTGAAGTCAAAATTAAGTAGCTTCTGACAAAATTTGAACTTGCATCCCATAATAGTTTTGCAAAATTACTTCTATAAATATAAACATGTACTTGAGAGGCTTTTGTTTTTCAAGTTTGTGAATGATTTGACTTTTGCATTTATAAATGATAAATAATATTGCATATTTGGGCAGCAATCCCTTTTTTATACATGTTTTGTTGGACAATTAATCTTTCGTAAGTTTTTATTTAATTTTTCAACAAAATTTAACCTTCATGCCTGCAAAAAAATTAGTGTGTCAAAAAAAAAAAAACGGTTCATCTCTTGCCACCACTATTACTGTAAACTTTTTCTATCCCTTCGGAATTTTTTTTTTAATCCTTCCTCCCAATCAAGGTAATAAAGCCACTAAGACACAAGGGATTACTGGGTGATTAAAAATATAAACAAAATAAAAGAGAACAGTAAAAGAACAAAAAGATAATGACTGACATTATGTTTAAATTTTTGAAGATCAAAGTTGACTGGAAAGCAAGAAGACAAGAAAGAATTCCACGGACAAGAAGTTTCATAGAAGAAACTGATAGCATAGAATTTACAGTTACATCTAGATGCCAGTTCAACTGTAAAATGAAGAAACCAATCTAGTACTGCATTTAAATTCAAAAAGTCTATGTACCATAGAGGAAAGTTCATCAGTTTGTTTTACGAACCAATGATTAGAATTTTAATAAAATCTAAACATGTGAAAGGGAATTTAAATATTTTCTTTATTATTGAAAATTTACAACAAAAATAATAAACACTATTTATTTATTAGATTGCTTATTTGCAAGAAAAATTTCATGTGCGGACCAACTAATACAATACAATGCTTATAGTTTACCAATTTATAAATAAATAAATATGAAAATATTTTCCTTTTTCATAATTTTTATAAAAATTTACTAAATTATAAAAATATGTGAACCAACTAAAATGGAATCTTTATTTACTATTTTATAAAGTTTAAAATGATTTGCAATTAATCGATATTTTGCCAATCATTCCAAAGAACACAATTCACCATCTTTGCCAATTGCTTTAGTCAAGGTGCTTAGTATCTACTCTTCATTTAAGGTAGTGATTCCCAAACTTTTTTTCTCTGGGCTGCATTTTCGGAATGAAAATTTACTCATGCTTCACCAAAGGGAAGTCCTGGTGAAAAGGTACAAGCAGCCTTATGGCAAAGATGGTCCAGAGACAGGGTTAAAGGGAGATAACCACAGATTTGAAGTCAGAACATTATCATTGATAACTCTCTCCTCCAATTTGCAAACCCAAGTTACTATATACTTAATTCTTGATATAATGCAAAAATATCACAATGATAAAATCAGTCAATAGTTATTTGTAACTATTTATATTATATATATATATATATATATATATATATATATATATATATATATATATATATATATATATATATAAATGCAATTACACATGATCCATAATAATATTTTAAATTTTGAAATCATATTTATTTTTGGCATATGAAATTTTTTTGAAACTGTTTCTAAATCTTTGTCTTTCAATCATTCCACCTCACCTGCTATCCTCTTCTGCTGCACCAAGGAGGCATGCCTCCCTGTTTGGGAACCACTGATTTACGGTTTCTTCATCAGTCGACACTTTGCTGACAGCCGATGTATTTTTTAGAAAAATTAGCATTTAAAAAATTTTTGAAATTATGTTTTTCAAAAAAAAGTCTGGAGTGGGTGACCTATAATTGCTGGAATTTCAGGGCCTAAATTTCTGTTTATTAGGCACAAGGATAGTAAATGCGACACTGAGATCCGTAGACGTATTGGGATGGCCAAGGATGCATTCCAAAAGCTGGGCAGAGTATTGCGAGACAGGAGGATTTCTTTGGTGACAAAGGAAAGGATACTGAGCTGTAACATGACATCTGTCCTTCTTTATGGCAGCAAATGTTGGATAATTTCCTCAAAGATGAAGAAGAGACTTGAGGTGACGGAGATGTGGTTCTACAGAAGGATGCTAAGGATATCATGGACCAAGCATGTGAGCAACGATGAGGTCTTAGAATGCAAACAAGGAGAAGGCTTATACTTAATATCAGGAAGAGGTAGCTGAAGTTCCTGGGATACATAATGAGGAAGGAGGGCCTGGAGAATCTGATACTCACAGGTCAAATAAAGGGAAAGAGAGACAAGAGAAAACAATGCATGACATACCTAGCGGCTTTAAGCAAGTGGATGACAGAATGTGTCTGGGGGAGGTAACAGAAGGAAGGAACTTGTTGAGAGCTGCAAGGAATAGGAGGAGGTGGAGAGCCATGATTGCCCACAGCCTGAAAGGATGGCACATAGAAAGAAAGATATAACAAATATATGAAAATTACCATTCTACGGAATGATGCTAAGGATATCATGGACCGAGCATGTGAGCAACAATGAGGTCTTAGAGAGGACATAGAAAGAAAAAAGACATTCTTGATCAAAGATCACCATTATAAAAAAAATTGTAAATAATCTGAGATATTATACATTTTTTTCTCAGATTATTTTATATCTGGAAAAATCATGTTTATTTAAATTTTCTTGTTCTATAATTTATAAATATTTTTATAAAACTATGAATAAAAAAATTGTTTTCATAGTTATTTATAAAAAGCAAATAATAAATATCGTACTGTAGTTTTGATAATTTTGTAAAACTTCTATAAATTTTGAATAAGACGGTTTCTTTTCAAATTTATGTCTTTATTAAATGGTAAATAGGGAGGGACCATGAAGTAATGGATAGCAGTTTGGATTGAGAAATCGGAGAGCTGAGTTCAAATTCCAGTCAAATCCATTATATTCACTAACATGCTAATACCCTTGGAAAACGTATGAATCCTCCTCTTCTCCTCCCAGCTATGGGTAAATAGCAGGACAGACTGGGTATTATAGTCTTGGATGGCAAAAAGAAATGGCAACCTACAGCAGGAAAAAATCTACCTCATCAGTCATGTATCAAAAGATACATGATCGCTTAAGTGTGTATCATACATGGCACATAACTGAAATAATAAATATTACATTGTACTTCGGTCACATACTTTTATAATCTTGTAAATAATCATTGCTGAAGGAGTGTTGGTCATATAAAGTAATAGCAGTGTCATCAGAAAAATTGTTCTTTTGAAACATCTTTTTTGCAGCCATGAAGGTGTAATGGGTTGAGCAGCCCTGATTCAACTCATGCTATTTATACTTTATAAATGTTCCAACAAGGAATAAACAAACAATTCAAGAAGAAAAGTTGCATAATGTAAATGGAATTTATATATGCATAACAACAATTGTACAAAATAGTAATTCCTGTTGTGTTTGAAATGCTGAAATTTACTTGTCCTTGGAATTTTGAGTGAGGAAAATGTTTTTGTTGATAAACTGAAATGTGTGTTGGGAGAACTTTAGTAAGATTTATTGTTACCTGTAAGAGAATTAAACAGTTTGAAAATAGTGAGAAAAAACGTGTGTAAGTGTGACGCAAAATGTTACGTTAAGAGTTTCTGCTCTTGTGTTTGTAGGAGTGAATGTTCGTAGATGTTCATACATACATGTGTGTGCGTCATGACGTTTCATAGTGCTTTCCACAAAGGCAGAAAATGCAACCTCTCTACTGGACTACATTGCTGTGGGTATGAGGAGGAGAAAAGAGGAAGAATGAAGATTTGTCAAAGTATTTATAATTAATGTAAATCACGTGGTAGGTTCAAGAACACATAACCAGATTTTGGTAGTAAATCAACTCCGAACACAGTTGCATAAGCATTGTAATTTTTTTCACATATATTAGCCAATCAGAAGTTGGAGAATTATTCAAGGCTTCTGTGATCCACTTTGGTGTTTAGTTTGTACAAAAATTGCCATCAAAAGAAACTATTACATAGAAAATGCATTGAAATCTTTTTTGACCAATAGTATTCGCTGAATCAAAAATAATATCATACAATCAAGTGGTAGCAGAATGCTAAAAAGGCTAAACTTTGCTATTTTTTCTTGTGTTCTTAGAATTTTTATGAGCACTGAAAAGAAAAAAAAATGGTAAGAACAATAAAACAGCTTTCGAAATATTCCTTGTCTGTCATATTTAACGAAACATGTCTAAAGGAGATATAATTAATGTGTTTATTAAGAGCCAAAAGCGTAAAACTAAAAGAAATAAATACATATACAGTCCAACCTCAGTTCTCAAATGTCTCACATGTCAGTTTTCAAACAGAATATTCAAGATGAAAATGCCTCGGTTATCAAACAAAATTTCAGTTCTCGAATATTGCCAAAGCAAGCCGAACCAAGTTAACCCTAACGGAATCATTTTTTAGTTGACCACCATGTTGTATACCTTCATGTGTTGTGCTGTGCTTTTCTTTTCGAAATTTATTGTATTGTGCCTTTTTTGTTTTTTCATTATTTCTCAGTCATGCTTCCAAAGAAAGCTAGCAGTGATATGAGTAAAGGAAAAAGAAAAGTTCAGAGAAAAACAATTGTTGATGATATTATTGTCTCTATGATGATGATATTATCTTTTCCTACTCAGTTTCATATGACAAAATCAACAATACTATTCTTATAAATAATGAGAGAATCATGTCTTTCCTTC